TCTCCGGTCCACGCAGGCTCCCGCTCCCTCCCGCTCCCTCCCGCTCATCCACTCTCTCTTCCTTTCTCCTGGACCCGCTTCCTCCCTCTCTGGCCCTGATACTTCCCCCTTCCTCTTTCTTTCTGCCCCCGGCTCACTCTTTCTCTCACTTCCCCCCCAACCAGGCCTGGGATCCCGCATCCAGCTGTGCGGTAACTCCCAGCTGTGGCCCAGCCCTGGGAGGGATAGACCATGGGATTGGGCGGCACCCCCTCACCTTGGGTACCCGGCTCCCAGCCACCTGGAATTAAGGTTAAAACAGAGAAAAGGAACTAGTTTTCCGGAAAAGCTTGGATCATCCTGGGATCAGTGGAACTTCAGGAAACAGCAGATTTGTCCTTGTGGAAGGGAGGGATGGAGAGGCAGGAGGCAGGGAAGAGGGTCTTGGGAAAGGGGCTTTTGGGAGGGAAAATAACACCCATCTTGCAGATGAGAAAACAGAGGCTCAGGTGGGGAAACCTGGCTCTTAAATACCAAGATGTCTAGGCTGCTGTGTGAACCCCACAGACCTCGGTGGCAGGAGCCCGGGTGGCCAAGGGTGCTGTGTGAAGCCGGGGTTACCAGCCCAGTGGAAAGGCAGGCGGCCAAATGGGCTGCTTCCTCGTTGCCTGGGGAACCTGGTTCATGGCGGGGAGTTTCTGGAGAGGCTTTAACAAAGGAGAGTGAGAGGGAGCTGGTGTGGCTGAATGTAAATGTCAGGCACGTGTTCGTGATTGACACATCGTCCTAAGCCGTTCTGTCACTTTGGGCCCAGTCCTGTGCCACGTGCTGAGTGAGGTGCGGAGACTAAGGTCACGGTTCCCTGGAGCTCAGAGGTCACAGCTTCTAGGGGAGGCCCTTGTAGTCTGCTCATCCACGTCACCAGCATCTTGGAATCACAGCAAGAGCCTCCAAACTGGCCTGGCGGATTCCACTCTTGCTCGCCTGCAGCTCACAGAGCAGTGTCCCCTGCGGAAACCCTCCTTTGACTTCCTGTTGCAGTTAACATGAAGTCGACAGCCCTATCACCATCAGAACGATCGGGCCCCAGCCAGATCTGTCCTCTCTGATCTCCTGCCTTGCCACCTCCGCCTCCCGCCCTCCGGTGCCTCTGGCTGCAGTGGCTTCCTCCTTGTGCCCTGACAGGCCCAGCTGGACCATGCCACAGGCAGTTTGCCCGCCTGCCCCTGCTGGAATGCTCTTCCCCCACCCGCTCAGACGGCAGAGGCCTGATTATTTACCCAGGCCTTTGCCACGGCGTTTTCATCTCATCCCTTCTTATTACAATGGAAACACTTACCACTGTGTAACAGTATCTTGTTTATGTGCTTCTTGTAGCTGTACTGCACCAGCCTGTAACCGCCGAAGGAGAAGCGACCTTGTGTGTATTATTCCCGGGGTCTCCCTGGAGCCTGGAGCAGCACCTGGCACACAGTAATGCTGTTGAATGAGTGAATGGATGATGCTATAGTAAAGAAGTTTAGAAAAAGGAAAAGTTGATGGACGGCACCGAGGGAAAAAAGATTGCCTTCAGAGAGGAGAGATTTTAGAGTCAGATCTTAGAAGGGGAGCCACAGGGTGGAGAAGAAGGGGAGGGCGTAGAGGCAGAGGGAAGAGCAGAGGCAGGCACAGAGCGTGACACAGCCTGGACCATTCGGGGGCTTAAAAGACGTGACAGGGATTGTGGTCTGAGGAGCATGGGGTCTATGGCAGGGTTTTAGGCTGCGCGGCTGGGAAGGCTGGGAGGTGTCTCCTGGAGGAGAGAAGCTGCATGACCTTGGTCTCGGTGAAGGGCATGCTGGGCAGAGGGAGCAGGTGAGACAGCAGCACGTGGAACAGCGGTCGGAACACAGGGGGATGATGTGGCTCTGTAAAGAGTGCTTTTTAAAAAGATTGAAGAGGAACCTGGGCTCCTGGTGTGTGTGTGGGGGGGGCGGGGGGCGGGGGCGAGTACTGTTCGTGCCTGTTCAGTGCCCATCCCAGAGAGAGGATGGTCTGATGGTGTGTTGGTGGGGGTGATTGTGTCACTTCCACGCAGAGGCTCTGGGACAGTCAGTGTTTGCCATCCCTTTCCTCTGTTCAGGCGATGTCCCAGGAGAGGCTGCTCTCTCACCTTGGGCCCCAGACCAAAGTCCCAACCCCCGCCCCCCGCCCCCAGTGGACATGTGATATGGGTGAAAGATTAATTTGTTGTAGGCTATTTGGGTTTCTGGAGTCATTCAGTGTTGTCGGCTAATCACAGTCCTTTGGTTTTCCTTACCGAATCAAGCTGCTTCCGGCACTTACTTTCTGTGGTAGGTTTTCAAAGGTGGCCACACAGTGTGGCCCAAGCCCTTGTGCAGTGCGACAGACAGCGCCTCCCGGCAGCAGTGGAGTCTGCGGCTCCCCCCCTGGCCTGGGCTTGCCCTGTGCTTTGCTTTGACTGGTAGAACCCAGTGGAAGAGATGCTGGGCCACTTCCCAGGTTAGGCCTCAGAGGGGCCTGGTGCTTCAGCTCCCACTCTCTTGGAACAAAGCCCTGAGCCCACCAGGCTGTGAAGAAGGCTGGGAGGAGGGGCCACATGGGACCAGGTGGCCAGATAGCCTGGCTGTCTGAGCCCCATGGGTAAGCACAGGCAAGACCAGCAGAAGAAGCACCCAGGCAACCCACAGAACTGAGAGACATGGCATGCCTTTGTTCTAAGCCAGTAATTTTTGGGGTGATTTGTTACAAAGCAATCGATAACTAGATAAAGGGCCTTATAGGGGATCGATTCATCCCTCTGAATCCATTTCCTTGACCGAGAGATAAACATAACAGTGATGCCTGCCCTTAAAAAGTTTGGATGGGACTCCGATGAAAAAAGAATGGATATTAAATTCACTTATTCCCTCAACACATGTCTATTGGACCTACTATGTGTCAGGCACTGGGTTAACTCTGGGATACAGTGATGAACAAGTAGACAGGATCTGACATGCTAGAGGGATGAGGAAAATGATAAACAAGCCAGATAACTTCAGTTAGTTTATAATTTCAGAATTGCTGCAAGGAAAGCAAGCAGGGTCATGTAATTGAGGATGACTGGCGGCTTGAAAACAGTTGGGAAGGTTTTTCTGAGCATGTGGCTCTGACTGAGTCAGGAATATGAAGAGAAAGGGAGCAGCAACCCATGTAGAGGGAGCAGTAAGTGCAGATGCCTCAAGGTAGGGACAGGCGTGGCCTCAGCGAGGAACATGAGAAGGTCACCATGGCGGAGTGTGTGGGAGAGGCAGACCCAGACCATGGTTGGTATTGATGCGAGGCCATGGTGAGGCCTGTGGATTTCATCCGAAATAAAATGGGGCTACTGGAGGGTTTTAATGGGGGGTGATCACCTCCATCCACCGTGAGGGGAGTTATTGCTGGAGGCAGTTCATAGCTGGTCACTCAACAGACGGGGATGACATTGGCGAACGTTTCCAGCTCTGAAAGTTTCCGGTTCTGTACTAGATCTAAAAACCTTTGAAAACTACTAAGCACTTGGATCACATGTGAGAAGTCATTACTAATAGGCTCCCCACCTTGCAAGAGGGCTTGGGTTCTGATGGCCTCAATCTCCCTCTTGCCCTGAATGTGTGATAAGAACTATCTTTCGAAGGAAGCCAGAGAAGCTTCTCATTCTGAGGAAACCCAAGCCACTTTTTGACCAGAATAGAAAACACACACACACACACACACACACACACACACACGTGCTTTTGTTGGGTGAGTAATCCTGGCCAAGTTAACAGCTTAAAATTGGGGGTGGGGGACACACACAAACAAACCACCAACAAGATTTTAACAATTAAGCTACTGAATGAATGACATGGGTGGTGATAGCATTTCTGAAGTGGTCTGCGGAGAATCCCAGTGGAAGCCCGCTGGTTTTCATCACCAGCTATTTCTTGTCCGTGCCCTGGGCTCGAGGGTGGCTCTGGGTCTGTGGTGGGGCACATGCGCCTGTGGCTGGGGTGTGTGGGCTGCAGGACTTCCTGCTATCATGTGCTCTGAGTCTTCCGAGAGACATTGAAAAGGCCTCAGGGCTGGGCGGCCCCAGATTGTTGCTGCAGCAGGTTTGTGCCCACTTGCGCCCACCCCCCCACCCCACCCTCCCCGCCCCTCAGGGTGCCTCCGCAGAGCCCAGACCTGGCTCTCTCCCCAGTGTCTTCAGATGACGTGATCCCCAGTTCTGGCTCACAAGATATGAAGGAACATGATGTATCGAACTGCCTACCATCTTCTGTGTGCTGTGCCGGGGCCTGTGTGTGTGTGCCTCATTTCAAATCATCCTCACCACAGCCCTTACGGTAAATGCTGTTATTTCCCCCGGGTTACAGATGAGGATACTGGGCCCCAGAAGTCAGAGTTTCTCCAAGGTCCCACCGCTACCTGGGGGATTCACGTTACCAGGATACCAGCTCCCAAGCCCCTGCCTCTCCGCACGGGGCCCTCCTGGCCCCTCCGCTGGCGGAACAGACTGTTCTGCGGGAAACCGGAGTCGGCGACGATGCATTCTGCCTGGGTCTCCGGCCAGACAGACCACCCTGTGGACTTTGGACTTGTCAGCCTCCTTAAGGGCATGAGCCAGTTCCTTAAAATAAACCTCTTTCCTCTGTACACACATCCTATTGGGCCTGTTTCTCTGGAGAAGGCTAATAACGCACAGAAAGGAGCTATTCACAGCTCCTAAAGCAACTATGGGAAAGATGATTTAGAGCAGCTGGCAGGCGTGTTGACTGATAGGCAGCCCAGACTGGGACTCAAGTTCAGGACCAGTAACTCAGAATAAAGGAAAAGCCAGGTCTAGGAATCATGCTGGGCTGGCCCCCAGGGAGCCTGGCTGGGTCCTTAGTTGGAGTTCCCA